TTCGCTCCCCCCTCCACCTCCTCCTTGTCCTCTTCCTCCACTTCCTCCTCCTCCTCCTACTCCTCCTCCTGCTCCTTCTCCTCCTCCCTCCTCCTCGTCCACCTCTTCCTCCTCCTCCTCCTTATGACTATCATCACCGCATCCTCAAATGACTTCACCCCCTCCCCATCCCCCAATGGGTAACACAAAACAAACTAAACAAAACTAAAACAATCCAACAACCCTTGAAAATAAATCCAACGAACAGACTTGAACACCATGCTCTTACCCCCTCACCCCAAACAATCTCCTGGACTACCATCACGTAGCCTACGTTACAAGTAAACAAACAAAAAACGATAAAAACAAGAACAACAACAACAAATAAGAATATGTTCCATGAAAAGCGTTAAACTATAAACCTCCACAATTCACCCACTTTCACTTTCAGCACTAGTGCTCTCATCCCACCAGCTACCTCTCACAGCATATCCATCCCCTCACTTTGGATTCACTATCACACCTCCCTGCCGCACTCCCATACAGGGTATCTAAAAAAGAGGAGCCACTTAAACTAAAATAACTCGGTCATCAGTACACTAATTATAACAAAACTTCAACAAGAGACTTAACCTTCTCAGAAGGCTGGCTTGCATTTCATGGGAAGCGGACAAGGATGTACTCAGACAGCTATATGTTGGCTATGTACGCTCTGCAATGGAATACAACTTAACCCTACTGACAATCTGCAGTAAACCAACTCAGGGGTTTCTTGACAAAATTGGGAATCAAGCTGCACGATTTATCTCAGGAGCTGTGAGATCCATTCCAACTGCAGCTTGCGAAATTCATACAAACCTGGAACCTTTGTACCTGCGGAGAGAGGCAGCAGTTGTGGAGATGAGTTAGCGTTACAAGAGACTAGACAAACACCACCCAAGCAGAAAGAACATTGAACAGAGACGGCCAAAGAAACGAATCCATGGAAGAACAATACTCGACACAGCCACCGAATTAGAAGAAAAACACCACCTTCCATGTAACAGAGAAATGCTGACACCCTTAAGACCAGAACTCCCCCGAAACATCAAAATCAAGAACGCCAACATCAAGACTTCCCTCATAAAGGAGACAGGGAAAAAGGAATGTGACCTAGATCTAGTAGAACTGAAGACCACAGTTCTCAAAACAATTAACTCCAACCCTAGTGAATCAATCCATATTTACACTGATGGGTCAACCTTCAAGGGAACTATTAATGCGGGCTTTGGACTAAGAATAGAACGTCCTGACAAGACGAGTGAAGAACTACATGTATGTGATGTTTGTGGTACTTCTTGTACAAATTATGAGGATGAGGCCATCGCCATTGAAGCAGCAATCCCCCACCTGACTAACATTTTCATTATATACCCAGATAAAATCAAGGATACTGTATTCGTCAGAGCTGGAAAATCAGTATTCCAAGCTTTGAAAAAACATGCATTTTGAAAGCCCAGCTTGCCTCTTTGTGGCTCAAACAATTAACACCTTCATGCAGACCTATGCCGAAGACCTGACATTACAGTGGATACCTGGCCACAGCAACATAAAAGGAAACGACAGAGCAGACACCCATGCGAAGAAGGGAGCATCATAAACGCAACCTTAAAACCCAGTATCACAACATACAGTCAAGAACATCATCAAATACAACACCAGGGAACAGTCGCTGAATGGACCGGCATTTGGGCAAAACTGGAAGAGCTGTATTTGCACACATGACTGCTCCCAACTCAAAAGATGCACTTAATTCCCTCTGTAGAAGAAAACAAGTCACTATCTTTCGCCTGCAAACACAACACATCCCACTGAATTCCTACCTATATAGGATCCGCAAGGATACCCAACCCGACTGCCCGTTGTGTGACTGCCAGGATGAATTAGTATTACACCATCCCTTTACCCGCCCTGCACTCAGCGACCTGCCTAGCACCTACCTACCTGCCTCCCTAGATATCGGAAATACTTTATACAGCGACAAAACACAGCTGACAAAAACCTGTAAATTCTTTGCTATCGAGAGGGCGAAGGGCTAGAACCCAGATGGCCTCTGGATCGGAAAAGTAAAGTGGAGTAAAGTAACAAAACTTCAAATAAATAAAATTCAAGTTTGATGAAGAAACCCACCAACGCCTTCGAGAAATATCACGTTTAAAAAAAATTAAAAAACGTGGGCTAAACGCAAAATTTCACTTATTTAAAAGAGTGATTGACCCGTTGTAGTTCATGGGAAAAGGGGCAAAACCACGACAGTCGCATCAGACGGATATCTCACAGTGCTGAGAAAGTGGTGGAGGAGGTGGGGAGGAGAAGGTATTATGTTGTAGAGGCCTGTTTCCAGTGGCATGGAGCCACACCCAAAATATTTAGGGTGACTCTTGTGTGGCTGCAAAAACAGTTGAAACTCAATGCTGAATAGGAGGTCCAAAGAATCGACCCTCAAAAACATACCACGGAGTTATCAAAATTTCCAGTGGAGCTTGTATGGAGAGAAATGGTCAGCACTTCGAGATTTAAAAAGCCTGAGCATATTTGGCAAAATAATTGTTGTAAAATTGGTTCTTCAATGCCCAAATACGGACTATTTTAA